CGAATAATGATGTTGGATCGATCTAACTTTTGAGATCTCTGAAAATGTCATCATGGCTCAGATCCATCTTGAAGTGCTGAGATCGATCATGTTGGATCGATCGAACTTTGATTTGAGATCGATCGAAGATGTTGAATTCCACCTTTTGCTTCCACTTGGCTCCTTTCTTTGATTCATCCCAGAATTGCTTCATTTCTATTCTTATTTGGCTGAGTTAGCTTATTTTCGGGATAAGTGCCTGAAAATGGAAATAACACGAAATCAATCTAAAATGGTAAAGTAAGATTGATATAGGTACTAGAATGCCTAAGCTTAAGGGACTTAAATACACACTTTTCAGCGCTCATCATGGAGGCATTCGAGAGTCCTATAAATTTTTTTTTTATATATATTTAAAATGTCATAGAAGGTATATCAACCATTGAACAAAAAATGAAGAACTAAAATAAAAATACAAACTATTTGGACTCTACAAAAGAATTTGTACAAACCGTATTTCTCATTTAAAGCCAAAATAACAATATTTTAACAATATATATATATATTGTGGAAAGGAAAGGCAAAGAAAATAAATTTTATTTTAAAAAAGAAGGTACAAACATCAAAGGCTAATGGAAAATTAGTTGTGGTTAATAAAAGTTCAAAGAGTGCAATGCAACTAATACAAGTATTTTAATTATTTCCAAGATAATTGAACAAGTATGTGTGTTTTTATATATATATACACACACACACACATGGATACGAATTATGTTTTTTTTTTTTATTTATTAGAAATTGTTTGATATTTCTCATTTACTGTAGTAAATAATTTTTTTAATTATTAAAATGTAATTGTTCGTGAATTTGTTCCTTTTTTTTTTCTCTCTCTGTTCATGAATTAGTTCATGAATGATTTTTCTCTTTTTCCTAGATATATATTGTTCATTTATCCTTTGATTAGTTTAATTTATTTATACCAATTGTATTATTTTTTCACTTCACACAAGATTGGAGTACATATTGAATTTGTTAGTTATGTGTTGCTTTTATTTATTAGTTCATTTGTTAATAAGATTTATTTATTATTACATACCTATAGTTGGAGGTAAAGTATTAAACTTAATTAGTAAAGTATTACATACATGTTTATAAAATATATTTATTTAAAATACTTTACTAATTAAGTTTAGCTATATGTGAATTTAGTTTTTCACATCTCTTATCAAATATGTTTATTTGGATTATAATATGCTTTTATTTATTATTTTTAGTCATAAAAAATATTTATCTATACATTAATCACACTAAAAGGCACAAATTAGAAAAAGAAAACGTGTAAGTTATTTTTTTTTATTTTTATATATTTTTATTATTTTTTAAAACAAAATATTAAAAATTTAAAAATAATGTTTAATGGGGAAATTGAAGGAAACACCAAATCAACTTCTCAATTTCATTTATTTATTTATACATTTTTACTATTTGTAAGTCAAGATATAAAATTTAAAGATAATATTGAATAGAAAATTTAGAGATGGCGTACCCAATGAACTTCTTAATTTTCGTTTTTTATCTCATCAAAATTTAACATTTTATTTACTCCTTCATTAATCATTAAACTCTAGCTTATCCTCTTTAGAACTTTTTCAACTCCCTCTGTGAAAAGTGTTTTGAATTTATTATTGATTAATGTATTATTTGTGTTTATTATACTGTTTCTCATTTGTTTCTTTGATATTTACCAAGCTACACATAATTGTTTCATGGAGAAATCATAATTTCTTATTACCAACACTTTAGATGAACATGTGACTAAATTCATAAACGAATATTTGTGAGGACGAAATGTAAAAAGGGCGGTAAGCCTTATGATAATAGAAGTTTGTATAATTGGTCCGATCATCTTGACAAGTTCCTTGGGTAATAGTTGCTTGTTTGTTTTTTTTATTTTTTTATTTTTTACTATCTTTCTATATGTTTAATGTATTTGTTTTATTGTGTTATTATAACTGGAAAATTTTATTTTATCCAGTTACTTATGATGGACTTCTAAAGTTTAGATATGATTTCACTTGTCATGTTTATTTTTTAGTAATATATATATAGCACATAAATCAAGCATCATTATTTTTGAAGGACAAGGTACTACCCAAAAAAAAAAAAAAAAGAGAAAACGAAAATAATAGGAGAATAGTCCATCAATATTGAAAACACTTCATGCATTATTTGAATACATAATGAAAATATTAATAAAAAAAATGGAAAACTATAAATCATAAAAAAATAGAGGTGATGGGATATATATATATATATATATATATATATATATATAAGTGATGAAATACATAAAAATAAATAAAAAATAAAACCATTATTATTTTATGAACTAGCACCATTCCTAATTTTGATTTCCAATGTATATAATTTCAATCTAAGGACAAATACCAAAATTTTTTCCTTAAAATTATTATTTGAACCGGGAATAAACTCTTACTTATATTTCCTTGAATTTTTTCAAGATTTGTTTTGCTAATTAGAAAGCTTTATAAAATGCCTTCACTTCAAACTGGACAATTAACTAATCATCTAACAAATAAATATATTAATCCAATTATCATATTAAACATAGCTAAAACATATTGGTCAAAGAGATACTAATAACCAAACCAAAAAACATTTTCCAATTTCAACAAACGGTGTCTAACTGATAAGTATTTTTATTAGGCCTTACATTGAAACAAGGTGACTTAGTATTTGAAACATTTATAATAAATACATAATGTTGCATTGAGCAAACCATTAATTAAACTTCGAGCATTTTAAAACACAAAAAAATTATAAAAGAATCAAAACCTCTTTTTCAAAATTCTAAATAGACTCAACTTTTCTTATTTAAAAAATTGAATTAGTTGACATGTATTATGTAAATGAAAAGGATCCATACAATATGACAAACTCACAAATTCAAATCAAATACAACAAAGGTTATAACACTATAGTCATCCTTATCGACCAATAATATTTAAAATTCACAAAAATAATGTAACGAAACATTTCACACACCTAAAAATATTTGAAATAGAAGGAAAGAGCCAAGATAAAAGAAATTCATGATAATTATTGAACATTATAGACATATAGATAAAAGTAATTGATTTTAATCAACCAATAAAATATTTAATAAAATATGAAAAACGCAATTCATATATGATTGGATTAATTTATATATATGATTTGTAGAGTGAATTGATTTCTTTATGAAATCTTTTAATTTTTATTTTTCATTTTTTTAAAAATAAAAAATTGAGTTTTAAATAAAGTATATTTGTTTTACAAAATGTTTATTTAATCACGTGCATTGCACGTGAATTTTCCTAATAATTAATGATAGAGTAACTAAATAGAAGTACCAAATAAGTCTGGTGATTTGTCTTTGTCACTTCATTTACGTAAACATGTTCTTAGGAAAGTAATTGTTTAACTAATTAAAAGATAAATTTACCCTCAATCTTATCTTCATTACATAGCTTCACTTTCTCTCTCTAACAATTTACCCATATTTCTCTCTCCATTCTCTCTAAAATTTTTGCCACATTCTTTTCTTACTTAATTTATCTATCTATGACCACTTTCTACTTTTCTAGTTTTTGTCCTCTATCTTCCTTTACGTTTCTCTCTCAAAAATTTATCCAATCTCTCTTCAAAATTATCTCCTCGATCTGGCTACCACCATCTCAATTCATAAATTCACCTTATATCTCAAAACCTTTCAACTTCTCACTCTTTTTTTGTTATCATCTTTCTTGTTAAGTCAACAAATCACCAATTACTGGACATAGACCAATAGACCCACTTTGATGAAGTTTGGAAATTAGAGTCTATTTGTGCAATTGTGCAAGAGAGATGCCACATAGTAGAAGGACAAATTTGAAGGTTTTTTCAGGAAGAGATATGAGATGGGAAACAAAGGAATGGTGGTAATGGTGATAACAAATAGATGGAGAAGAGATAGAAATTTCTCAAATCTTAAAAAGAGAAACCGAATAGAGTTTGAGAGAGAGAGTGATAAATTTTTAGAGAGAGAAAGTTGCGAGAATTTAAGGGTGAAAATTTCAGATCCAATAAAGGGAGAAAATAAAGAGAAAAAAATATAGGTAAAGGGCAAAAATTCGTTATCAAACGTTCGTTGAGATCTTAAGGAGAGAGTTCAATCCTACTGAGAATGTAAATATATGTAATGAAGATAAAGTTGGATATTAAGAAAAAATTTGTCTTTATATTAGTTAAATAATTATTTTCTTGGGAATGTGTTTACTTAATTGCCGAGTTGAAGACAAATCACATTTCAGATTTATTCGGAAACTTTTATTCAGTTACTCTATCATTACTCATATATTATATATTTTCACAAATACATTTTTTTTCCCTTTTAAAATTCCACAGCCAGAGTTATTGCTGCTAAAATTCCACCTGCTAAAATTCCACCTGCTAACATTCCAGACTTCAGTCCCACAGTTTGGATAGAAAATGTGTGGCTAATAGTCCCAAACCAGTCATTGCTTCTAAAATTCCACAAGTTGACTTGACTCCCAGTCATGGCTGGTAAATAGGGTTGGTGAGAGAGTCTGTTTGGGTGTGGGTGTGTGAAATTTTTGTCACTAATTAGGGACAATCTTGTCTTTTCATGAAAGTTTATAAGAAGAATGTGAAAATGTCTGGCTAATAGTCCTAAAGACACAGTCATTGCTGCTAAAATTCCACAATTTGGATAGAAAATCTGGGTTCCCTACACCACACACGTCTTTGTTTCTTTGAAAGACTGTTTTATTTTCAGTTCAAAGTCGTGAGTGAGTCTAAAGACTCTAAGCCCAGAACAATGAATCATGATATATAGTATTCATTTGCTAACAACACATTCACATCCTCTGATTTTGCGACCTTGAAATTAAAAAAACCATTCTTTTGATTTCTTCACCATACAAGAGAACCAAAGATCCCCAAATCACTCCAACCTACACATGGCTCCAATATTCTCTCTGTTTCTTGTTTTGATCACTGAATTTTCATTAGCAACTGCTCAACAAAGAAACTCCAACATAAGCCTAGGCTCCTCTCTCTCTCCAGCCTCTAGCAACTCATTTTGGTCCTCTGGTTCTGGCCAATTTGCATTTGGGTTCTACCCAAATGGTGATGGCTTCTCCATAGGCATCTGGTACGCAACAATTGCCCCGAAAACAGTCATATGGACAGCGAAGCGAGATGATCCACCATTTCACAGAGATAGTAAATTGCTTTTGGGTAATGATGGAAGGCTGATATTGCAACAGGGGGAGGACCCTGAGAAAACAATTGCCGGTGGGTCCCAGATTGGTTCATCAGCTTCCATGCTGGACACCGGCAACTTTGTTCTCTATAATTCACGTTCAGAGATCATATGGCAGAGCTTTGACGCTCCAACAGACACCCTTTTACCCGGTCAGAAGCTTCGCCAATTTGAAGAGCCGAACGAGTTGTTCTCTAGCGTCTCTAAGGACGATCACTCCACTGGGAAGTTTCGGATCTTAATGCAGGAGGACGGATACCTAGCGCAATATCCAGCAGACAGCCCGAATTTAGTAGAATATGGTTACTGGGATTCCGGAATAAAGATAGCCGGAAACAATGTGACACTAAATCTTGATGACAATGGCCAATTATACTTGCTCAACAACAGTGACAATATGAAGAATCTGTATGATGGAGGAAATGTCTCTGATAAACTGATGTACCGCATGACACTCGATGCAGATGGAATATTCAAGGTTTACTCATACGGCTTGAATCGGAGTGATGATGATTGGAAAGTTGAGTGGTCACCTAATTCCGTCCACAAGTGTGATCCTAAAGGGGTGTGTGGCCAGAATCAATATTGTATCTTGATGAATCAAGAAGCTGTTTGTAAATGTCCTCCTGGTTATGTTTTGATCAACAAGAGCTAGGAGGACTCGGGCTGCAACAGAAATTATGTTAGGAATGGGAATGTTTCACTTCATTTTTATCAGTTAGACAATGTTGTTTGGTTCAATGATCCGTATTCCATACTCAGCAACACGAGCAGACCTGATTGCGAAGACGAGTGTTTGAAAGATTACGACTGTGAAGTTGTGCTCCATAAAGATGACCAGTGCATGAAACAAAGGCTTCCACTAAAATTCGGAAGACAGCAGAATGATCCAGTAATTACACTAGTCAAAGTAGGAGGCAGAGAATTCAAAAAAGAAAAGCAATCCAAAGTTCTTATTGCTAGTGTTGTGGTACTAATTGTTGCTTTTACTGTGCTAGCGATATCTGGCGTTCTGATTTACAAATACCGTGTCAAGGGATACAAAAAGTTATTGAATAGTGGGAATGAAGAATTGATTGAGGACGTTATTCTTCGGTCTTTTACTTATGGTGAGCTTGAGCAAGCAACCAATGGCTTTGCGGAAGAATTGGGGAAAGGAGCTACAGGGACAGTGTTTAAAGGGCTTATATCAAACGGCAAGAGAGTTGTTGCCGTTAAGAGACTAGAGACAGTGGTGGCTGAAGGCGAAAGAGAATTCCGAAATGAGATGAAAGTAATTGGAAGAACCCATCACAAGAACCTAGTAAAGTTGCTTGGTTATTGCAACGATAGAACTAATAGGCTTCTGGTGTATGAGTTCATTAGCAATGGGTCACTTGCAGATGTCCTTTTCAAGTCTGAAACAAAGCCAAGATGGGAGGAAAGAGTTAGAATTGCGGTGAATGTGGCTAGGGGCATTCTGTATCTGCACGAGGAGTGCGAGACTCAGATCATCCACCGCGATATAAAACCTCAAAACATCCTACTGGATGAAAGGCATTGTGCAAAAATTGCGGATTTTGGGCTGTCAAAGCTGATGAACCTCAACCAAACCAGGACTAATACTGGAGTGAGAGGAACGAGGGGTTATGTCGCGCCTGAATGGCACATGAATTTGCCTGTAACGGTGAAAGCAGATGTGTTCAGCTTTGGGATCTTGTTCCTGGAGATCATATGTTGTCGAAGAAGCCTGGATCCAGACCTTGCTGAGGCTGAAGTAATTCTTGTAGATTGGGTCTTCGACTGTTTCGACTCTCATGAGCTGGACAAGCTGGTGCAGGATGAAAAGGTGGATAAGAGCAAACTGGAGAGGATGGTTCGGTTGGGGATTTGGTGCATCCAGGATGACCCATCCCTTCGCCCTTCCATGAAGAAGGTGGTGTTGATGTTGGAAGGGACTGTGGACATACCAACTCCTCCCTCTCCTTCATCCTTTCTTAGTTCCATCTAGTCCTGATTACGTACCGTTCAATTAGGTAAGGTCTAAAATAATTTATGGTTTTGTAAGCCGAACAACGAAGGATTCTAACTCTTTTTCACTATCTGCTGCTTTTTTAGGTCTAGGATGCTATATTGAATAATGAAACCAGCTTATTGTAAGTTCCTTTTTTTCCCAGTATGATGTATTCCTTTTGTTGAGGGCTTTTCTGCAGATGAAATGAAATGGCACAAATAAATTCTCTATCTAAAATTCAACATAGTTTGGGCATCAAATCTATTAGTTTGAATAAATATTCTCATGGATATGCAATTTCTTATGCAATTGCTTCAAGTTTCCTTATGGGCAAAACAGAGTCATTTCGTGACACGACATAATTTCTTCAATCACGGAAATCTTTGTCTCTTTTGTGTGTCATTTTTCTGGTCATTAATTTTTTTCTTTGTTCTCGTAAACTCCTATTCAATTTTTATTTCATAATAGGAGTGGAAACAAAAGATTGGCTGACGTTGTGGGAACAAAAACCTCCTCCTTGCCTGGGCATTCGTTGGGAATTGGTGGTTACTTGGCAGATAAAGTTGTGAACTTATTGAATTGGTCACTAATCACTCCCAAATAGTTGGATAATGCTTTCTTTATTTGTTCAGTTTATATAACATATTAAGAAGAAAAAAAATTCACACCACTATCAACACAAAATCCCAATGTAGTTCATAATCTTGAAGGTTGACACTGAATTTTAATATGAATCGTTCATGCCATATTTCTGATCATCACACCTGATGTGGTGTCCTATACCGTTCTGGCAGCTGTTCTGCATTCTTGACTCTTACTGGTGAGAGATTGATTGTTCTTTGTTGACTAGACATGGGGTGGCAAACGGCAAGGTCGGGTGGGTTGGTCAAAATATGGGCGGGTTTAAAATGGGTTGTAACTTATATCCAATCTGTTTGTAACGGATCAAATATAGGTGGGTCAAAATGAGTTGGTTCAATCTTGTAAGATCATTTTGGAGAGAAAATTATTTTAATTGTTATTCAAGGGGGTTGAATGTAAGTAATGAGTTGAAAATACCCATTTAATACATATATATTTTCAATCTTTAAAAAAAAATCTTTTACTGTTATATTTTTTTATGAATTTTCAACCTTCAACTCACAAGATTCAATCTTTAAAATATGACCCATTCACAAAACCTGGCCGTTTACAAGATCCGACCCATTTTACAAAACCTGGCTTGCTTATGTACATAAGCCTAACCCACTTAACCTTTAAAACAATTCTAGCTAAAGAAACCCTACATGGACTTTCAACCTAAGTTACATAGAGCGGGAGCGAGTGCGAGTCCGAGAGCGGAAAAAAAAGCAAGAGCGCAAAAGGATCAAAGTCTAAATTTTTTAAAAGCGGGAGTATTTTGAGAGTGTCTGTATATTAGGTTTAAATAATATTATATAAAGTCATGACATATATATTTTGTATTTTTTTATTTATATAAATCCATATGCAAATATATTCATTATTATTTATTCCATTAATGATATATAGATATCTATCTATATCTATCTAAATACTTTATATTATAACATATACTTATATACAACTTAGATTTCCAATAGCCACATATGACTTAATAAGCCATCTCTATGTAAAAAAAATTAAAAAATTCCAATAGCCATAAATGATTAATGAGTGTGTATATTTTCTATTACTACTATTTCTATATATTTTTTATTACTACTATTTCTATACATTATCTATATATACTCATATATAAAAGTGTATAAATTTTTAATAATTTTTATGCATTTTCAACAATTTTTAGTACCTATAATTTTTAAAAGGTTAAATCTATATCTATATCTATATCTATACATCTATATACTATTCCAAAAGTGTAAGAAATTTCTTAAAATTTTTAGATTTTTTAAAAATACAAAATAATTTTTATTAAATACTTTACATTATAATATATACTTATATACTACTTAGATTTCCAATAGCCACTATTTTTATATATTATCTATATATACTTATATATAAAAGTGTATAAATTTTTAATAATTTTAAACATTTTCAGCAATTTTAGTACCTATAATTTTTTAAAGGTTAAAACAAACCGTTAATAGGAGCACGTTTTAAAACTAAACTACATTTTTTATTTTTTATTTAAAAACTATAGACCCATTCTACACATTTTCAGCAATTTTGAATTACACTATTTTTTTTTAAACGTTAAAACAAAGAGTTAATAGAATTACATTTTAAAACTAAATATACACATACCAGAATTATTGTTTATATATACTTATATATATAAGTGTATATATTTACAATAATTTTTATATATTTATAACAATTTTTAGTAACTTATTTTTTTTGAAAGGTTAAAACAAAGAGTTATTAGGAGTACCTTTTAAAACTAAATTACCTTTTAAAGTATTTTTTATTAAACTATAGACCCTTTCCTTTTCTCAACGGGCATACATTTTTAAAAGTGTAATGTGAATGAATATAATGATTAGTAACATGTTATAATAGCCCTTCCTAGAATTAATACATTTAAAGATAAATTAACTTTATTAATTTCTTTCTTAAATTACTTGTCTTTTCTTTTTTCTCAACAGTCATTGTATTATTGTGAAGAATAGTTAGCTCAGTTAATACCTTTCAAAGCTAAATTACTTTTCTTTTTTTTTAGACAATTCTTTTTATTACTTCACGTCTTTTCCTTTTCTCAACCCATACAACATGTAAAAAGGTATGCGTTTTCATCAATTTTATATACATGTCATATTTATGTATATCAAAACTTGACGTACCCGTTGTAATTATTTTTCATGATTTTCATTCTTGTGTGGTCAATTTGAGTGAGTAAAGTGGTGACAAATGGGGTCGATGGATTAGATGATTATAAAGAAGATGTTGAGTATATTGCAAAATCCTCCAAGATTAGTATTTTATGTATTCTTTATAATCGTTTACTTCACACACTTTTTTTTAAAAAAATTATTTTTCTTACATCACATTACATGTCTTTTTCTTTTCTTAACTGATACTATATATAGAAGGATATGTTTTCATCGCTTTTATACGCCTACCATATTTATGTATATCAAAACTTGATGCGCCTTCCGATTATTTCTCATGATTTCAATTCTTGTGCGGTCAATTCGAGTAAGTAAAGTGATAACGAGCACGTATTAGAAGATCCTAAAGGATTTTCCTTAAAGGTTAGTATTTCATTCCATGATTTATGAATGATCTTCTATCATTTACTTAACATAATTGTACACTTAAATTTATTCACGCATTTGCATCCATATATTGCAAAGTGCCCATCAATTGGGGAGACAATGTCCATTCAACACAAAATACCACACAGGTTACCAACACACACACACACACACACATATATACTAGGAAAAGGCACGTGCGATGCACGTGATAAATATTTTGTAACTTATAAAATTTTTATCTTCATATTGATTAATAAAAATTTATTTTATATTAATATATAAAAACTGAAATATTTTGAAATTGGTGATATAGTTTAAGTTTCGTAAATTAAAAAATTCTTTAATGTTTTTATATTAATACTAAAATATGTATATTTTATTTTTTATTAAATAATAATTTTTATTTTAATAGTGAAATATTTGAGTTTTGCAAAGTAAGAATTTTTTTTAGGTAATTTGAATTTTTTTTAGGTAACTTGTAATTTGAATTTTATTAGATAATTTGAAATTTAGTATAATTTTTAGTTTACAATAGAAATTCAATTATATTAATTTTTATTTAAATTTTAAAATAAAAATTCAATTATACTAATTATACATTAGATTGAAATTGATATAAAAATTTATTATATGGAGTTTGTGGTTTTTGGAAGACTCTAGGTTATATTTTATTTTCTTTAAATATGTAATTTGTGGAAGAATTTTATAGAAATTATTTTATTTTATTTAGATATATCTTTGTAAAATTAGATTTTCTTTTATTAAAAAACTTAAAAAAATTAGATAAATACAAGGGTTATATACTTATATGTGATAGAGTTCTCTTTTTGTATTAATTAATAAATATTTTTTATATTAAAATATAAATACTGAAATGTTCAAATTCTTTAACATTTATATTTTATTTATATGTATTATTATATTATTATATATTTTCATTAAATATATCCTTGTCTAATGTGATAGAGTTATAGAAATTATTTTATTTTCTTTAAATATATCCTTATTTAATTAGATTTTTTATTTTATTAGAAAACACATAATAAATAGATAAATACAGGTTGTATGTAATAGAGTTTTAAAGAAAATAAAATACTTAATTTGTGGTAAAGTTTTGGTAATTTGTGTTAGAGTTTTATAAAAACTATTTAAATATATCTTTATCTAATGTGATAGAGTTTCATTGCAAATAAAATAGGTAATTTGTGGTAGAATTTTATATAAATTACTTATTTTCTTTAAATATATATATCCTTGTCTAATTAGATTTTTTTTAATTAAAAAACTCATAATAAAAGATAATTTGTGGTAGAGTTTTAGAAAAATTATTTTATTTTTTATACAAATTATTAAATATTTTTTATATTAATAATTCTTGTCTAGTTATATTATATTTTATTAAAAAATTCATAATAAATACATAAATAGGTAATTTTTATTAGAATTTTATATAAACTCTTTTAAAAATATATTTCATTTTCTTTAAATATATCGTTGTCTAATTAGATTTCTTTCATAAAAAAACTCACAATAAATAGATAAAAACAAGTTATATGTGATAGAGTTTTAAAGAAAATAAAATAGATAACTTGTGGTACAGTTTTATAGAAATTATTATATTTTCTAGAAATCTATTTATAATAAATAAATAAATTGGTAATTTGTGTTACAGTTTAATAGAAATTATTTAAAAAACACAATTTATGTCAATTAATAAATATTTTTTTATATTAATAATTCTTGGTTAATTAGATTTCATTTTATTAAAAAACTTATAATGAATAAATAAATAGGTAATTTGTGTTAGAGTTTTATAGAAACTCTCTTCAAACTTCTTTTTATATTAATTAATAAATATTATTTTATCTTAATAATGCTTGTCTAATTAGATTTTCTTCTATTAAAAAAACTCATAATAAATAGATAAATAGGTAATTTGTGATATAGTTTTATAAAAACTCTTTCCACATTTAATAAATATTTTTTAAATAAATAAATAAATACTGAAACTTTAGA